AACAACCTCTATACAACGAAAGGAGACTGCGACCACACAAAAGGCCACACAATCTTGGTCTTCATACCTACCACTATGGAGGTTCTTTGGGTAAGTTTTGATGTGGCACATTCTTCGGAATAGAAAAAAATTGTTTCTGGTACAGTGTCAGCAAGAATGTTCTAGAAATGCCAATCGACAGCTGATCTTCGAGTCTCTTTATCACGTACTTCAATTCAAAATGTAAATTATCTCCACAGACTCTTTGAAGCTGACATTTTCTCGGTATACACTTTTAGCTTTCCTGCCCTTTGACTAATATCATCAAACCAAACTACCATTCTTACAACTAATATAAGCAAACCTATCAAGAAAACTCACCTGCTTATCCTCATATATTGTGTATCTACTCTGATGTTATGCATTTGTAAGGGGTTAGAGTGATTTGGTCAGTTTATGCCCTGTTTCACTCTCGACGCATAACAGTTTTCACAGGAGTTAAATGTGATTGCCTTAGGGACGGGGATAACCAGAGTACCCCAGTTGAGCCCAATAAAGAGTGGCTGGGAAAAATCGTTTTTCTAACTTCTTCACTACCCTAAAAGACTCTTCAAGACCTAATTTTTCTTCATATACTTTAGATTGCAACAGACATCCCGGCCCCAAAAGTGGAGTCAATTTCAGTGTCCCGTTCGTCTACTTTAAAAGCAAATGAAAGATAAAACAACATGAAAACTGACCACATTCTCATCGAGATCGAGGAAAGTCGTTGTAAGGCCGGAGTTGTCTTTTGCTGAGCTCGGACTTAACACCCATTCACTTGAAGGGGAAGTGATCTCAATACGTGTGCAAAATGCGATTTAGTGAAGCACTTTCTTTCTTTGTGCAGTACCGTATCTGCTCGACTGGAACAACAGTCAGATGCCATTCGGAGACGGTTTGCTCTTTATTTCCTTCGGGATGGTGTCATGGTTACCAGACGACTCCTACTCAAGTTGTGGCACCTTTCGGCAGCCAAGAGGTGCTTGTGCATTCAGACCTGGCTGTGGACAGATGGACTCACAAGTGGACCTGAAAGGATGTTTCTTTGGGCTGTACCCATTTACACATCTACCCCCTGGAGTGTTAATTGTTAACGGCATATGCGGTGACAGAAGACGAAGAAACATCGCTCGAGTGGCCATGGCTCAAGACGCCCCCAGCCGAGTAGTACCACCGAAGTATG